TTGATGTAGGGGGAGGTGTCCCTGCCTATGGCAGGGGGGTTGGAACTAGATGGTCTTCAAGGTCCCTTCCAACCTAAACCATTCTATGATTATTTCATGGAGCTGAAACTGCATTTGCATTTCCTATTTGTAAAGCTTATTCTGCATTGAAGATTTGGGCATCTAAAAATGATAAGAATGCTTTGAGATTAAAGTACATATGGAAAAAGCAACATCCTTCCTTATTCTTCTGCTCACCAAAAAAAGAGTTACGCAGTGAATTGGACCCAGGGAACAAATCACACACCAAAAACCCCTTCATATCACCCACCAAGCACGACAGCAACACTTCCACTCCTGCAGCAGAAAGGAGGAGCCTGTAACACGAAAGCTGCTTTGAGGAAGACACACACCTAAATGGCAGGCAGCCCCATCACACCAGAACTGTCACAGATCTCCTCCCAACCCCCGTTCCAAGCAACAGAGACAGTTTCTATACTGTGTTGCAACTGTATAGATACAGATTTATATATCAGCTAGGGAATTGGAGACTGCTGGGAGGGCAGTGTTTAACAGACTGAAAAATCAGGCCAGTTTCAACTGCAAAACAATTCTTTACTGGATTCACGCTCATTAACAATACCCATTGCCAAAGGCAAGTTCCTCATTGCCATCAGTCAGTATCACTTACAGAACAAAGCTTTCACAAAGCTTTCACAAAGGCGCTCTAAATTAGGGGGGAGCAAAGCCACAGAACTGAGGTAATTTCATTGAGCACTGGCGGTTACCATCCTTGATAGTTCTTAGCCTCTGAGGGAAACAGAAACCAAAGTGGGTTGTCTTCTTTATTCCCAGTCTTCCCTCTGTGATTGTGGATGCTTTATGCTTTTCTACCCGTAACACCCCAAAGAATGCTCTTATTTGCTTTTGACATCTTATTTTTGGGATCTGGACTTGTTCTGTTTGGCTTGTTCTACGGGATTATTCTGCTTCCATCACACACCCTTCCTGCCTGCTCTGCAGGATTTTAGTTTTACCTTGCAGATTTTACTTCATGTTTTCCCATACCCTGTTTGTGCAACTGTATCACAACTTCCCATTTACCCCCTTGCAATTATGCCTACTATTTATATATTTAAGCTTAGCTGCATCACAAAATGGTTTCAGTAGTGTTACAATCTGTTGGGTGCCCATGGCGAGGTGCTGGCAGCAGTGCTGACCTCTGTGAGAAGAAACGAGGGGCTGCCCCAGGCCGGACACAGCTGGCTCCAACAGACCCACTACAGGACACAGCTGAGCCTGTCAGCCAACTGGTGGCACCTCTGGGAAAACCTATTTAGGAAAGGACAAAAAGCTGCAGAGCAGCGAGGGAGGCAGTGGAAAAAAAGTGTAAGAAACAGCCCTGCAGACACCAAGGTGAGAAGGAGGAAGGGGAGGAGGTGCTCCAGGTACCTGAGCAGAGATTTCCCTGCAGGGCCACCTACAGCTGCTCGCCCAGGAACATGTCCAGATGGCTTCTGCATATCTCCAAGGGGGGAGGCTCCACAACCCCTCTGGGCAACTTGTGCCAGTGCTCAGTCACCCTCACAGTAAAAACGCATTTCCTGCTGTTCAGAGGACACCTCCTGTGTTTCAGTTTATGCCAATCACCTCTGGTCCTAGGCACCACTGAAAAGAGCCTGGCTCTGTCCTATTTACACCTTCCCCTTCAGGTGTTTGTAAATACTGAGCCTTCACTTCTCCAAGCTAAACAGACTCAGCTCTCTCAGCCTATCCTCACGTGACAGATGCCCCAGTCCCTTCATCATCTTAGTGGTGCTTTGCTGAACTCTTCTTCCAGTAGTTCCATCACCCTTTTGTACTGGGAAAATATATTTTGGGAAATGAATTTTGGACCCAGAATCACAGAATCGTTAGGGTTGGAAGGGACCTCTGGAGATCATCTAGTCCAACCCCCCTGCCAGAGCAGGGTCACCTACAGCATGTTGCACAGGACAGCGTCCAGGCGGGTTTTGAATGTCTCCAGAGTGGGAGACTCCACAACCTCTCTGAGCAGCCTGTTCCAGTGCTCCACTACCCTCAAAGTAAAGAAGTTCCTTCTCATGTTAAGATGGAACTTCCTATGTTCAAGTTTATGCCCCTTACCCCTCGTCCTATCACTGGGTGCCACTGAAAAAAGACTGCTCCCATCCCCCTGGCATCCTCCCGTTAAGTATTTGTAAGTATTAATAAGATCCCCCCTCAATCTTCTTTTCTCTAGACTAAAGAGACCCAAGTCCCTAAGCCTTTCTCCATAGGAGAGATGTTCCAATCCCCTAATCATCTTCGTTGCCCTTTGCTGGACCCTCTCCAGCAGTTCCCTGTCTTTCTTGAACTGGGGAGCCCAGAACTGGATGCAGTACTCCAGATGCGGCCTCACCAGGGCAGAGTAGAGGGGGAGGATGACCTCCCTCGACCTGCTGGCCACACTCTTCTTGATGCACCCGTTTTTAGCTAATGTAGTAGGCCACTGTGGAAGACATTATAATGAGGAGATAGTGACTTCTAGCAAATCTAGGCAGTTTACCTGCAGGCTTTGGTTGCTGAGGCCCATATGTTACCATTAGTGACAGCCACATAATAAGAGTACATACCATGCTGTTAGCATGGACTGCCTTTAACAATACAACCTGTATGTACTGTTTGTAAAAGCTTGTTCCTATAGAGATGCTCAAGAGCATAATGCTCGCAAGTGAACTTCAGTGTACCATCTAGAACATTGAGATTTATATGGACAGAAGGCCAACAGCTTTGGGATTTGTTTTTTATTTCAGAAATATAAAGATGTGAAGAACAGCAAGGGTGCTGAACCTCACCATGGATGGGAATTCTGCACAGCAAGCCATGGTCCTACCAGAGAGGTCTGTCTGATGCTGTCTTGTTGTGGGTTACCATGACATCAGAAGGGACATGTAAGGTTTCTTCTCATTATAACCTATAGTAGTAACCAGCTGTTTATCTTAAGCATCATGTGCCTTTCTTAGTGAGATCCAGAAGTACCAGCACCTGCCAACGCAAAGCAATTATTCACCTACTCCAAAATTTTGGGTGAGTCACCTAATTTTTCTCTCCTTCGTTTTGCCAACTTTGCCCAAGAAGAATGCAGAAAGGCTTACCATCTACGGAGCACTTTAAGATCTGTGTATCAAGAACACCTGCAAGTGCTAGGTAACAACAGTCTTGTGGGAGATGCTTTGCAACTTCAGTCACTAAAGAACTCAAATCTTACACCGCTGCCAACGGATGGTCTTCCTCAGTTGAAGAACGTTGCTCTACCTTGGGGGTCCTGATGCTACCCAAAGTGTTACCCTCATCTAAAACGTGCCTCATGTGTGCCTACCTAACAAGAAAAGTAAGTTAAGGCTTTAAATATACTTTTTTTTTTCCCACCCCTCCAAGTGGAGATAACTGTTTAAGTTACTGAGCTGGAAACAGTTAGTCCAACATCCACCAGAGACAGACAACCAAGCACAAACTAAGGGCTGTGATATAAATTTATACAGTAGTCCCATGGTTCAAAGGAGTAATATAGTTCTCTACAAGTTTCTAGGAAAACTTAAAATCACTGCTTCCTTAATAGATTTCTCCAACTCAATCTTTCCACCTTAACTTCAATATCCTCTCCTTTCTAGGAACTTTCTCCTCCAGGAATACTGCTAATCAAAACCAGAAGCAGAGACCACAGTTTACCACGTAGCCTGAAGCTGGTTTAAGAACTACCAAAAAAAGCCTAAGACTTACGTCAGACACTGGTTTTGGGGGCCAGAGCACATGAATTGCTTTTGTGCTTGCATCTTCCTGCTCAACACAGCAGGGAAAAAAAAGCAACTAAGATACAGAATCAGGTATAAACAGAGAGAGTACTAAATATACAAGTATTTTGTATGGAACATCCATTACACAAAGTATCACTTTAGAGTAGTTGAGATACCAGCCCCCTAAGTTACAAAGTGAAGCTCCCAGAGATTTAAAGACACTGAATGTGGTTGAGAGCAATTTTGAAGAGCATCTAGAAGAAGATGCATTAAAAGATGATTTTAGTATGCAAGATGAAATTTTTACATGGGAGCATCAGAATAAACTACCAAACCAAAAAAAAGCGCTGCCTCAGGTAAATAGGAAATTCACTATTTAGCTACATCAAGAAAGTACGCTACCCCTTGCATTTGCCAAGAAACAAAAAAACCCAAAACAACAACAATAAAAAAGAGCCAGAGAGAAGGTGAGGGAGGTGCTGCTGTGTTTTTCTTACCCTGCACACCAGTTCAGGTCACAGAAGACCAAAGTTTCCTTTTGCTTGAGAGCTTCATACATGCCATTTCTCGGCACACACAAAGCCAGTCAGCATTTCTAAGCAAGAAACAGCAAAGTCGGCTTTCACATCACCCTCCCCAGCTCTCAGGTTTATGAACAGCCTGAATCGATCACTGTTTTCTATTGTTTCTGCTATTTTACCCCATCATAGGAGTTAAGGTGCTCAATTAGAGGTAATTAATGATGCCTGCCAGCAGTGAGGGATGAAAAGCTCTATAGATAAGAGCTTAAGAGTAATACCAATGGTTGCTACTATCTGCTCCTTGCTGTGAGTAATTAAACAAGAAACACTTAAATTTTAGATGCAGCTGAGCAGGACAAAGACATTATTAATCCTCCCTGCTCATCACCACCATGCTCCTTGAATCTGCCAGCACAACATATTTTAAAACACGACCAAAAAAAAAATCAAAAAAACTATTCGGTCAAAGCCCAGCACTGTCACAGCAGGGAATAAGAAAACAATAGAACTGTTATGCCAATAGGTCTGTGGAGATTATAACCTCCAAAAGACAAGGATAACAGGCAGTACTCTGGTAATTTCTTAACCAGGAACAGCTGTAGCCAGAACAGGATATTCTTGGCTTTGAAACAGCCATACCTTGAAGATAGCATTGCCTTTATACACACATGCAGAACCAGAATGGATTGTTCAGCCAAATTTAACAAATCAATGACTTGCATACAATCCGGACAAAGGTTGCATCGTAGAAAATTTGTGTACAAGAACTCAGTGCACTTTGGAAGGGGCAGATTTTACACAAAACTGACTGCAGTTGCTTAGTTGTTTTCTCATAGATTTTTCTCACTTCCCTGTACCCTCAAACACCAAAATATGCTGGAAGTGGAAGGGGGCCCTTGCTTCCTAGTCTGCATCATCTCTTGGAGAAGAGCCAACAAACTGTTTTTTAGTCAGGCCTTTTATCCTGTCAAGCGTGTACTATTGTTGTGATCTTTCACCTCTGTCTTGCTTACCTCACCATCTGTAAATCTCTCGTGAAGTTGTTGACTTTTTTTGTTTGCGTATTTGAGTAACTTTATGGCTATCCTGTTGGGATATCAGGAATGGCATGCAAACCAGGCTGTAGCCTCGCTGTTCACTTCCTGCTGTAAGACCACACCTCTTCAGCTGACAAGTCATAGATGACATGGCCTTATCCAGGTGCAAGCCTTCTGGTATTTATGTAAGCAACACACTCCTCAGTGTTTAACTGTTTTATTGCTGTTACTTTTTTGTTTTGGTTATAAGTATGTGGCACTTTCACAACCCTCGCTCTATATTGTTTCTTCTGGTGCTTTCACACAGAGCCATTCCCATTTGTACTTCCTTCAGACTAATCTTAACAGCTTGAAACTGAGATCAGAACTTCACATTCTCCTTGCCCTCTCCCATTCCTAATTAACAAAAGCTTCTCTTAGGAAATCAGTACAACTCACATCAGGGAGGAAGAAAGGGTCATTTTGGAGAAGCAGGACTCGCAGCTCATTCTCATCGAGGCAAGACAACTCATGGGTCTTAAGGATTTTTTTGTTCTCAGCACTGATGATGTCATGCGAGTACTTACAAGATCTGCAAGAAAATACACAGAAATATCAACGTTTACTTCTTCAGTCAAGTTGATTTAAAGAAGAACTTCAGAAAATGTGCATCTTGGGAAAAGCCACAAAGAGAAAGGTAGTTTGGCGAAAGTCTCTGTGATAGCTTAGATAGTCTCTGTAATTAGCTAGAGAAGGGCCCAAACAGCATAATGACTCTGTGAAATACAGTAGCATTATTAGCCCCATTTTAAACATCGATGCGGGCAGACCACTTTTGAGAAAGCTGGCAGCACAGATTTGAAGCCAAGTCTGTCTACCCCACACTTTCTTCCCCTCCAGTAAGAGGCAAGTCAAGTCACATGACCTGAACAGCTGGAGAGAAGACTAATTTTAGAGGAATACATCAACAAAGGTAGAAGTTGCAACACCCTTGATTTTGTTAACATAAAAGGTTCTTGTCCCAGGGATGGTATGTAAAAAAACATGCAAGAGCCTGAGAGCACAAACCAAACAGATAACGAAGCTGAAAACAACACAATTTGTTATCTTTGCTGGCTGGGAAGTTAAAAAAAAAACACCACCACCAACAACAAGAAAGTTCTTTAACTTCTGAGTTTTGGACAATGAAGCAATTAACGAACAACGAAGACACTGGTGCCACTTACTAACATAAGAGCAATGTCTGGAGAGAGTATGAATTTGAAAGAGAGAGATACTGCATATTTTTTTGCATCTATTTTAAAAGATATTGCAAACCCATAATAAGAGGAAAACCATGGTCAACCTGTCCATTAATTCAATGCAGTAAAATACAGCTTCCTTATGTCTTGCTCTTCAAAAGCATGATTTGATACAGTGTTAAGACTAGACATACTCAACCAATGAAAGTACCTGTTACGCTATCAGACTCAAGTCTCTGTTCCCTTTACCCTTTTAGCCTCTAGTTAACTCCTGAAACTCTCATTGTGAAAGCTTTTTTACCTCATGCTGTATATGACCCAGTCCTTCTGTACAGACCCTTATGTAGGCATTTTGCCCCTGACACCCACTACTTGCTGGACACATTGCTTTGTAAGCAAATAAACCAGAATGCAAAGTCTGAAGGGCAGAAGTGTGCCATGTTTGGTCTTGAGAAATGATCTTCTAAGGATACTAGATTCTGTGGACACTCAATTAATGGCTATGAAGGTAGGAGAGCTACAGAGTATTTGAGGTGGGAGGCATCACCAGCATTCCTCCACAGTTAACTTCAGATTCCACTGACAGTCACATGGTGATCTACATCGCTTGAGTACATATTTCTAGGTCAAAGCTTAAAACAGTCCGCAAATACAATGATAACTGATCAGCTGAGTTTATTAACACATTTGGAAAAAAAAGCAGTGAAAAGTTACTTGCCAGACACAAGTTAAAAACAGGTTTAACTGGACTAAAACCCTGATTCCACTACATAGGAAGACCCCAGGAACTTGTACAGATGTTTTTCTTTCCAGAGATTCTAAAACAAAAAGGATACAAGATCTGGAAGCAAGGCTAGGTTTTACCTTATCAGTTAAAAAAATATTCTGCCTTGACCCATGTTCTGACCCCTCATTTTAATCAACCTCCTTCCCATGAAAGGCATACTCTTCGTTTTATTAATTATTAACACATACAGCGGTGATTTAAAATACTTAGTGCTATTGAGAAGACAGAATGGTTTATCATCACAAAGGGAATCACCTCATTGCACATTTTATTTCATAGAATCACAGAATGGTTTAGGTTGGAAGGGACCTTAAAGAACATCTAGTTCCAACCCCCCTGTCATGGGCAGGGACACCTCCCACTAGACCAGGTTGCTCAAAGCCCCATCCAGCCTGGCCTTGAACACCTCCAGGGATGGGGCACCCAGAGCTTCTCTGGGCAACCTGTGCCAGTGCCTCACCACCTTCAAAGTGAAAAATGTCTTCCTAATATCTGTTCTAAATCTACCCTCTTCCAGTCTGAAAGCATTATCCCTCATATAATCACTACGTGCCCTTGTAAAAAGTCCCTCTCCAGCTTTCTTGTAGGCCCCCTTTAGGTACTGGAAAGTTGCTAGAAGGTCTCCCCAGAGTCTTCTCTTCTTCAGGCTGAACAACCCCAGCTCTGTCACCCTGTCTTCATGAGAAAGGTGCTCCAGCCCTCTGATCATCTTCGTGTTCATATAGTCACCCAGCACAAGTGCCTACGTGCACTTGAAGGTACTTCTAACAGTGAATCACATGGAAGCTTGTTGTACCACCAGTAAAGCGAGAAATGGTGAGAAAATCTTTAGCATCCTAATACTTTGCTAGTACCATTCTGAGATAGGCATGTCGTTTCCCCTCCACGGTCTCCAGACTTGAGCGCACAGCCAGGTGTTTGGCTGGGGCAGAAGACGAGGAATCTGGTGCAGTATTAGCATATTCCCAACACCACAACAGTGCAAGACCTGAGGCCGGGGGGCTTAAACTGCAAATTCTTCTATCAGAGCTTGCTGCTGCCCTTGATTGCCACTAGTTTTTCACGTCTGCATTTGGTTTTGGTTTCCTTTATCGCTATTTTTAAGCTAGGTACCACCTTTGGCCAGCCTGTGCTGTTGGAACAGTTGTAAATTATTTCATCCCCATGACAGGGGGCTGAGGGACGGGTGTAGCAGCCAAGAGGCTTTAACAAAAAAGAAAAAAACAAACAAACAAAAAACCACCACAAAACCGTAATACTGACGAAGAAAAGCAGGCTTTAGAATACTGCAACCCACCGCGGTCACTTCGGGCTTTTACCAAAACACCGACCGAGCAAGGATGGCCCGGTACGAGGCTGTACCCGACGGGGAGCAAGAAGGAGGGTGCCGGACTGGGCCTCTCCCCCTGCAGGGAGCCGGGAGGGAAGGGGCCGGAGCGGCACTTCCAGCCGAGGGAGAGGAGGGGAGAGCCGGCAGGCCGGCGACGC